TGTCAATTAAACCTAAAGATCTCATCAGCTCCATACATACACATCATATTAAACCAAATGAAAGGCAAATTACACCGGTCGAAACGAAACGCGGCGTTTGGAAACTGGTACATTCTCCGAAACACAATGAAGAAGGTGACATTTTCCTCAGGTTTCTCGGGAAACAAACAGAGAGGGAGAGAGAGAGAGAGATAAAGGGAGGTAATTGACCTGAGTGGGACGCATGGCGGTTTCGAGGGAGGAGAGGCGGTGGTCGAAGGAGCCGAGAATGGAGACCATGTTGTCGGTGATGGTCTGGCTCTTGTGCAGCGCGTCTCTGATAGACGAAGCTCTCGCTCCCAGGGCCTCCATTGCCTGCGGAACCCCCATCTCTCAAAATTTTCCCGCCGGATTTTCTCTGACTTTCTCAGTGACTGTTTGGCAAGTGAGAAAATGCGAGATTAGATTTCAGAGCACGGGTTTGTTGTGAGGGAGAAATCTGACGAGAGAAAGGTTGCGTAATAAGTTGTTCATGTTTTTTTTCTCGTCCGTCGTCGAAATGCGGAGGCAAGCCACCAAAGTGGTTATATAAGACAGAAAGAGAATCGTCGTGTCAGACTGTCAGTGAAGGGATCTATTATGTGGGTCCCAATATCGTTCCGCCGTGGCTTTCCTTGTAAATTTTGCGCTCCTTTGCGTTACACTCACATTTGCCTTCTTCTTTTCTTTTTTCCTTTGTTTAAAGGACCATTTGGTGGCTTTAATAAGATTGTCTATTTTTTGGAGATTGAGAAGACTTAAAGCATTTCAATCCCTTTTAACCATTATTGTATAATTCATCAACGTAAGGTTTTTAATAGGAAATTCTTTTTTTAATAGGATGCTTTATTAATTAGTAGTATAAAAGTTACGAGTAACGAACACTTATCATCCGAACATTATAATCAGAACCGTTCATTCTCTTTATTATCATCCAAAGGTCTTATACGCAAAAAAATATTCAACTTAGAGATTTTTTATGTTATTCATATGTATAAAACAAATAGACAGTTTATCACAAGAATAAGGTTCTAAAAAATGTTAGGCGCTAGTCGGGGTGACGGGTTGGCACCTAGCGCCTAGGTGGCTAGTCTGGGTCTAAGCGGATTTAGGTAAATTTCTTATATATCTTGTAAATAAGTACATATTGACACTTACAAAAAATTATACTTGTATGAAATCTATGAATAAGATAATAAAATAATGATAAAATGCAAAAAGAATATCCAACAAGTCCAAAATTTAAAAACACATTAAGCATATATGTCATATAACCATAGTGATGAGTATTCTAGGATAACACATATATAACAAGTTCACAATTTTAAACCACTTAGACTTAGATAGGATTATATATATACACATACAATTTCATTAAAAAAAATTTAAAAATTTTAAAAATAAAGAGTAGCGATTTTTCTTGGGTACCCCACGGAGGGAGAAGCCCTTGTGATTAAACATTTATATTAACCCTAAAATGGCCTTTGTTTATTACTAGAAAAAAAAACATAAAATACATATAATATGGACAATATCGTAAAAATGATAGACAAAATTGAAAACCACTTGGTAAAGAGATGAGCCTCAAAACGAAAAAGTTTTGCAGGATGGGGATGAGAACCGCCAATGTGGGATAAAAACTTTAAAACAAACCTCCACATTGTGCAGAACTACCAACTAAAAAGTCGTGTATTGGTTTAATTCAATTGCTTCTGAGCCACTGTGGCTTGGTCCTCCATAGAATTGACAGGAAGTCGTGAGTTTTGCAGGATGGTGGTTTGTTAAACTGTGGAGTTTTGCAAGATGGGGATGAGAACCACCAATGTGGGATGATCAGAAGCAATTGAATTGAACTCACGACTTCCTGTCAATTCTATGGAGGACCAAGCCACAGTGGCTCATTTCTTGGCCCCTATTAATTGGTTTAGGTCCACAACACACAAGGAAGCTAGTGGTGATTTATTGCCATTGAATTGAATGTTTCCTCATAGTCTAACCAACTTCACGAAACCACAAGTGTTGCTTCATACCTTGCAATGCCAATACTCGAATCTATAAAACGCTTAAGTTAAAAGAGTGTAATAGTTAATGTCAAGTGCTATTAAGAGCTGATTCATTTGTCTAAGAAGGACTTAATTTCTATCAGTCTCCTATTATTTAATGAGTCTTTTAATTTAAGGTATTCTTTATAAAGAGACTGTACAAAATAAGATGAACAAGTCCCCCCCCCAAGCCCAAACCGAGATCAAATATCAAAGAGAAGAACAATCTAGAAGAATCACACTAAGGGTAATATCATTCAATGATTTAGACCTACAAGCCCACAAGGAAGAAAAAAAAATGATTGTCCTAAGTGAAGCCACAGTGTCTTCTTTATTCTAAAAGTTTCCCTATTTATACTCCACCAAACCACTAAAAAGAAAAGTCAAAAAAACACAGTTTCATAGGATGATCATATCTTGTTAAAATCCATTAACCAAAAAGAAATTGCAGAGCAAAGAGTAAAAGTTTCTCGGAATCACCCTGTCCACCCCAAAGGAATGAAGCACAATGCACCAAATTTGAGTAGCAATGGAAAAAATGTAAGATGTGATCCGAATATTCACCATTAAAGCTGTATTGTATACACCAATGAAGAAACAATGAGGTGTAGGGCTTTCTTTTTTTGAAACAAATCCAAGGTTTTAAGTTTTTCATGAAATCAACCAAGCAAGAATGTGAACTTCAGTGAAATAATCTTATAAGGAAAGGAATATCAAGGTAAGAAAGGACGGGCAAATAGGCCCCTGGCTAACCCAAATTCTTTTATTAGGACAACAAGGAAGAAGCACAGCATTGCTAATGCACAACACACTGATGAGAAAACTCATTAACCTCCCTCTTAATAATTTTGTTTACTTTCCGATGAGTCTTTTAGGATTTCAATGAGCCATTTAATATTTCTAGCAACCATTGAGAATTATGGTGAAAATCTTTTTGGAAACATATTTTTGGAAACAATCCTTAGTAAAAATGTTAGTAAATCCTGGGAAAAGTACTTAAAGTGCTTTTGGAACCCAAAAACGTTTTCTCTAAAAACTCTTCCGGTCATTTTAAAAGCATATCCAAACGAACCCTTAGTAATCCAATGTGTATGCTAGAAGTGTATTGTTTAGTTTTAGATAGTAACTTATGCATATGGTAAGCCTTTATATGAGGATAGCAAACACCTCAAAAATCCTTGAAACTACAACCTGGGACGAATGTATAGCTACATGCACGGAGATTTAGCAGCAATTACCTACGAGTCAGATGATCAATTAAAACTACTATATTGGCATTGGCATGAAGCCAGCATTGAAGGGAAAGAACAACTTATACAATAAAGTGAGACCAGTTTCAACAATACGTCCATGTCCACATTCTCCTACTCCATTTTGCTGTTGTGAGTGCATGAGATTTTCTACGCAGGATGTCACACCATCAGTCCATTTACCAGAACAGTAATCAAGTGACACAAGTCTATAATGCTGCTGCATCTAATGCACCGGAGCTGCCACACACGAGTGCCCATCAGATTAAATGCAAGAGATAAAAATAAACAGACGCTACGAAACAACCCCAAAATAAAATGAGTAATATAGCAAAGATCTAGAAGAAACAAAATGTTGATATCAGAAACAATTAGCAATAAGATTTAAAGATGTTTGAAGCTTCACTGACACAAAGAATCATCCACAAAATTTAATTGTCAAAAATAAAAAAAATAAACCCACCAAGAATTTGCTTTTATATGCTTGTAAGACTATTAGTGAAATTGCCAAAAATTACCAAACTTCATTTGTGGGCAGTAACTGGACAAAGCAACCACTTCTACCTTCATATCAAAAAATGAAGTACCAGAGACAATAGGCTTTGACTAATAAGAACATTATACGAAGCAAATATAACCAGAGAGAAGAATATAAGAGATATCACAGTAAAAAATTCGCTCAAGGACGTACTTTTATGGGCTTGGGGCTTCGGTACTCCATTCCATATCTGCAGAATTTACAATACTTAAAGATGTATGGGAAAATGAATAAAGTATAAAAGCAATATAGAGCTGAAGAAAAAATTACCTTCTGTATATCTTCCCTTAGCACATGTTCTAGTTATTCAACAGTGGATATTAGCAGTAAGCACAACTCGGCTTACAAATTTGAAAATAACTTGTATTCTTAGTCCTAGTATCGAGGAAACAACTAAGCAAGATAATGCAAAGGAATCATGGTTACTAGGTCCTTTAACATCTGATATTTTTTCATCATACGTAATAATTCAAAAGGAGGTTTAATGTATATAACATATGGGAAGAAGGATTGGTAGGATATTCTGCAGACTACTAGGGTTGGACTTGAAGGCAAGAAATCACTAGAATTTCAGTATTGATTCTGGAATTTGGGGAAGCAACTGCTCCATAATTTTTTTTTTTTTTTTTATTTTTTTGTGTCATGACAATTAAGCCAAAGGCTATCAACAAAATCTGAGGAGTAAACATATGCTTTCGTTGTTGTTTGTTTTAGCCAGAAGGTAGGATGCTTTTGTTGAAAAAAAATACAGTGAAGTAACTTATACATTCTAAAAAATTTAAATCAAACGAACAAAAAATTCATAAATTGGGTCATATCTTGGTTTGAGGATTACAAACTTCAAAATCACCATCCATTAATAAAAAAACTTATTTTTCTCTATGAGAGCTATTAATGTTTTAGTCAGAATGAACATAGGATAGACAAATAGTGATTGTAAGGTTTAATTATAGTATTTGGGTTTATTGATAAAATTGACTTTTATTATTAATTTCATTTTGTACTTAATAGTAATTATGCAATAGGATAAAATTGACAATTAACATTTAAAATTTAAATTAAATATAAAAAGATGTTAAATAAGTTTAAATAAAATTTCTCAATTTTAAAACAAATATGCCTCTTATCTTTTTAAATATTTACACCATCTAAATCATAAAACAAACCCTAAAATTCTATCTTTCTTTCCATCTTCTCTGCCGCTGCCTTGTTTCTCCCAGTTCTATCGCAACCTTCCTCCTCATCCTCTCCCGTAGCCTCTGTTTTCTCTTCCCCACGGAGTGGAACTCAAAGCTCTGCATTTCCAGGTTCCAGGTTCGATCTTGCTCTCTGTAGATCTTTGATTTTGTGTTTGGGTTTTACTTTTTTGTTTTCTTGATTTTTCTATGGAAAATTTCAATTTTCCAGGAGAAATCTCCGAACACTGCTGCTAGTGGGGATGGAAGCAGTAATGGAACATTCTTTAGAGCTGTTCTGTTAGTTCGAAGAGGAAGGGTACACTTTACTGTTCTGTTAGTCATTAATACAATGCATATGCGTTTAAAAGACCACTTATTTGAATGAGACAGAATGCCTCTTTTGTTCGTTGTGGAAAGTGATTATTGAGAATTTCAAAGTTCACATTTTGTTATACAATCAAGTCAGCTTCTTAGTTTTTATTGTAGTTGACCTATTCTATTTTGTTTTCTGTTGTTTCCGGGCACAGTATGATGAAGCATGTGAGTATGTTGAGAGAGCTAGGAAATGTTTGGCAACAGAGCTTGCTGCTTTGGGTTTCATGTGATTTGAGTTTCACATGATGGGGTTGAAGCATTCAGTTGGGATTTAGAAATAATGACCATATTGATCTCAATGCTAATATGTTGTTTATGTCTGAATGGTTCTGTATGAGTGCATGAAACTAAATTTACTTAATACAAAGTAAAGGTTTGTGGGGTTCTGAGCTTTACAGAAAAGGGGGTTAATCTACCAGTTTGGGACCTTTGCGCTTAATGTGATTGATATGAAATATTAATTACTTGTCTTTGTGGATTTGCAGATGGATACCAGTGAAGAGTTCGAAAGTGTTTTTCTGGAAATGTTGCACAGGGAGATTTGTGTTGGCCAATCTTTACAAGTTCAGGGGTAAATTGATGAATACCTCTATTTTATATGATTGGTTGAATATCTGATTGGATTGGGATGTATTGGGATGTATTGGATGTGTGTTTAATTCATTATCTGATTGGTTTTTTTTTTTCTTGCAGCTGCTACACCAAAACAAATTAGAGAGTTAATTAAGGTTGATGGGCTTACTAATGATGAAGTCAAAAGCCATTTGCAGGTTTGTATATGTGATTATCCATCTGTTTTGGATCATAATTTGGTTGATGTGAATAAAATTTTACACATACATGACAGAAATTGGAAGCCATTTTGCATGCTATTAGTGATGAATATTTTTACACATACATGTGATTATCCTCGTTAAATATTTTTGTTTAAACATATGTTTCCGTATTAAAAAAGGGCACATTTTGAGCTTTCGCACTGGGCACCAAAAAACTCAGGACCGGCCTTTGCAGCGTGCCTACAGCAACTGTGGGGCTGTATTCATAGATAGTGCGTCATGTTAAAGTAACAGGGTCGAGTCATCTGTGTTGGTAATTGTTCAAAAATAACAAAGTCGAGTCATGTGCATTGTTGATTGTTGGATTTAAATGGATTAGGAATTTTTGGGCAAAAATGCGAGCGTTGGTTCCAGTTTTGGATTGGTATTTCTGTTGTGGTTTCGAATGATTTTGTATTCATTGTCACCAACTTTTGCTGAAAAAAGGTTTGTTGTTTGCTCACTTTTTCGTTGTTGATTCGTGGAGATCTAGATTTTGGTTTGCCTTTATTACCCTTTTGGTTCAATTTTTTTTTTCTATTTTTATTGTATGTTTGTTTTTGGTTATAAAATTAGACTGCTAATTCATGGAAAACATGTTCCATCAGGATAAAATTTTTTGGTATAAAAGCATCCTGCCTGACCAGGCAAAGGCCTCCTAGGTTTATGCCGTGTGTGTGCATGAAACCATCCATCTTTGAATACACACATACATCTATACATAACTAACTTTGGTCACACATCGGACAAAACTCACCCATCCACCACTTGTATGAATAGACCTGCACATTCATCACCAAATATATAATGGACGTGCCATTTTTCTATTGCTGATATCATGTATAATAACGGTCCTCTTTCTCAATAAAAACCCTTTTTATCTTATGAACTGAGGCATATACAAAGATGCAGACCTTATCTAATATGACATTCATTGAGGGTTCAAACTGCACACCAGGACGTACTTTACGACAGTTATTTTTGCCTGTGTGCTAACTAATTCAATGATAGTCTTGCCATGGGAATTCCTAAAATCCCGAAATCTGGAAGAGCTATTTGTAGAATCAGGAAACTTCCAAGTCCCTGCAACTCACATGTAAACATATATATGTCTAATCTGGTCAAATAGAAAACTTTGTAAGCTTAGTTTTAAGGCTCCATTAATTTTTATAGTAAGGTGCTTGAATATAATATCGACCATAAAGATAATTTGGGTTTGTGCCAGAGGACACAAAAAGAAAGAACTCATGGAATTTTGAAAGATCCATTGTAATTAGTTATTTAGATAATTCATAATATCAGACTGAACCTAATGAGCTATGTTGTATGGTAGAGAGTTTGTTTTTGGGCTTCCCTTTGGACGTCCGTATCTTGAAAATGTATGCATACCGTCATCCAGAGGCTTATGCCACTCATCATACATTGGGATAGAGTTCTTTATCAGGCTATATTTATAATTAGAATTCCGATGTACACTTGGTTTTTTAGTATGCTGCCATCTCTGTTGCTTAGCTATGCTTTGTAGTCTTTGCTGATTAGCATATTCTAGATAGATTTATGGGCAGCTTTGCTCCTGTATTGATCTATTCTTTTTAATGGAATTATTTTTCCTGAGGTTAGCAATTAGACCCCTGAGATTTTCTTATTGATGTTTAGTCCGATTCATCTCTTCTTATTGTATGAAGACCTTTAACTGCAGTAATAGGGGAGCTCTCAAGTGACAAATGTTATCTCTTTGTTATCTGTTTTAAAGTGCCAAGACTAGCAACTATATTTTCTGTATGAAGACCTTTAATTGTTTTCTGTATCTTTTACAAGCCATAAGGATCTTGGCATTTCAAGTTTTTTTCTTGGTTTTTACTGTTACTTGAAAGCAACATTAAAAGCATGTAATAATTTGGTTACAAAGTGTGAGATTAAGTATTCGGAATAGCAAGGTTGTATAAAGAAGTCACTTATCCATAGATTTTTTGTAAGGTAAAGGATGCTTATTGGGGTCAAGAGATTTTAATAGTTCTCTTTACAGACTATTTGTGGTAGATATTCTGTATTGTTATAGTTTAAGAAGAACTAAAATGTGTTAGATCATTTGGTTCTTGATAGTTTAATTTAAGTTTTCATTTCTTTTCCCAGTTATGTAGTGCTCTCAACGAAAAAAAGAAAGATCATTATGGTACTATTTCTGTTTTGTGCATTTGTGGCCGCATTTTCCATTGCAGATCATTATCAAAGCAATTTATATAAGCTACAAAGTGCTTTTGCTGAAATTGAAAAAAAAAAATGTTAGCCAGCTTACTAAAGTATTGTTAAGTTTACAAATTATAAATTTTTTTATTAATCGTATTGATAATTATTGCTTTAAATAAAAAAAAAAAGGATTATTACAATGCTATTGTTTTGTATGTCTTATTTATACTATGTTATCTATTGCAGATTATTGTCACAACAATTTATATAAGCTACACAGTGCTTTGCTCAAATTGGAATAAAAAAGGGTAAGTGACTGACAAGTAGCGTAAACTTTAGAATTTACAAATTTTTGTTAATCATGTTGATAACTATTTGTACATATATATAAATATGTTCTGGTATTTGTATCACCTTTCAAAATTTATGTATATCAAATATCATCATGTGTTAAAGTTGTATTTGTATTTATGTCTTTTGTACTGTGATAAAGTCGGTTCTTTCTTTTTTACAATGAGATGTGATATGTCTTTTTTTTGCATGAAGGAGTAGGTATTGATTGATGAATTAGTTGTATATTTTTCTGTTTTGATTTTTCTTTGTTCTTCGTCCCCTCCACAACACTACCACTAACGTCACTTTCACTAAATAAGGGTGGAGATATTTACATACATATTAAGATGCAAGAATTGTACTAATAATTTGGTTAATAAATTTAACCTTTTGATACAGATGTCGGGGATCTCTACCATCTCCTTTTACATTTGGTTAATAAATCTAACCTTTTGATACATTGTGTTTACCAAAAAATTAGTGTAGCCTTTTGTAATCATTGCTTCATTGTTTTCACACTGATTTGGGAATACATCTAGATTTTGCTTTACACCTATGTTCTTAATATGCTTTGACTTGGATAGTTTAATTTAGTGATGATATGTGAATTGAAACTGAAAAATGGTCAAAGTTGGGGCTTGAACTGCTTTTTTGGTTTTGTGGTCAGTTGTAGTGTTGTTGAGACCTGGGAAAGGAATCTGAATTTTGGATTTTCAATTACAGAAGGGTTTTCAAACATGAAATTGAGCAACTCCTGAATTTTGGGCACTTCTGCAAAAGCAGGGCAATTTCAGAAATTTGAATCGCAGATTGCGTAACAGACCTCTTTCTAATATTTGAAACACTATTTGATATTTGAATTGATACTTGAACCGAATAAACATCAGATAGGCCAATCAATTTGAATATCAGATTTCATTTTTGTATTATGTTTCTCAATATCATATTTTAATCATCGTTATTGGTATTGCAGATCTCTTGTGCTCAAAGTATATAACATTTGTCTTTTCTTTCAAATTTTTTGGTAAACAATTTTACCAAATTTTTTTTCTTCTTTTGTGTTGCAGATCTCTTTGGATACAAAGTGTAGAGTATCAATTTAACGTTCTAAAACAGCAAGAAACAAAGCAGCAGCACCGCACGGGCACTACTGCTAGTTAAAACCAATAACTCAGAAATACCAAGGTAAACGCCAAATTCTGCAGTTCTACCGATAGCCACCGAATCACCCAAACCCACAACCAGCCCACCTCGCCGACAACAACTCCGTATATTCATAGACGCCGACCAAGTCTCCTCTCTCTCTCCCAGGATTTCTAGTTTAAGTGAGAGTGTCGGGGATCAGTTGAGCGCGCCCTCGTAATCCTCAATTGAGACAGCCAGTTATGTCTTCAATGGAAGAAACACCTTCCCCTCCAAAGCGTCGATTGTCGTGCGCCACCTACTTCGACGCCCTCTGGTTTTGCTATTGTACGCTCCTCCTTTGCATTCTCTTCCTCTTTCATTTATGTTGAATTAATTTCACAATTGTGCGGCTGGCTTTTGCTACGATTTTTCCATCAAATTTGTGTACTTTTCAGCTCTTATAACTTAATTTTAATTCAACAGAAACATGGGTTTTGCATAATTGTTTATAACATGTTTTATATATGGTCGATTTCAATTTTTACTGGCAATTTAATTACTGCCCACAAATGAAGTTTGGTAATTTCTGGCAATTTCATTGATAGTCTTACAAGCTTATAAAAGCAAATTCTTGGTGGGTTTATTTTTTATTTTATTTTTGACAATTAAATTTTGTAGATGATTCTTTGTGTCAGTGAAGCTTCAAACATCTTTAAATCTTATTGCTAATTGTTTCTGATATCAACATTTTGGTTCTTCTAGATGTTTGCTAAATTACTCATTCTATTTTGGGGTTGTTTCGTAGCGTCTGTTTATTTTTATCTCTTGCATTTAATCTGATGGGCACCCGTGTTTGGCAGCTCCGGTGCATCAGATGCAACAGTATTATAGACTTGGGTCACTTGATAACTGTTCTGGGAAATGGACTTCTCTGGTTGATTGCTTGGTTTTGAAGACGAAGCGGTCATCTGAAGTGCAGGTTTGATTTTGAGTTTGGCAATATATTTCCATCCTTTTTCCGTGCGTTAATGTATTCCGCTTCATTACTATGTGTCTTTCCATTGGTAATTGTACAACATGCACTTCGATATTTTCCTTTGGCTTATAAATCAGATTGCTTTATTGGGGTTTCCCTTAATTTAAGGCCTATTTTGAGAAGTTGATGTCTACCAAAATCTAAATACTTAGGACTGATGGTGTGACATCCTGCGTGGAAAATATCATGCACTCACAAGAACAAAATGGAGTAGAACATAGACACGGACATATTGTTGAAACTGGTCTCACTTTATTGTATAAGTTGTTCTTTCCCTTCAATTCTGGCTTCATGCCAATGCCACTATAGTAGTTTTAATTGATCATCTGACTAGTAGGTAACTGCTGCTAAATCTCCGTGCATGTAGCTATACATTCATCCCAGGTTGTAGTTTCAAAGATTTTTTAGGTGTTTGCTATCCTCATATAAAGCCTTACCATCTGCATAAGTTACTATCTAAAACTAAACAATACACTTCTAGCATACACATTGGATTACTAAGGGCTTGTTTGGATGTGCTTTTAAAATGACCGGAAGCGCTTTTAGAGAAAATGTTTTTGGGTTCCAAAAGCACTTTTAAGTGCTTTCTGCACTTCCATGATTTATTGGTTGCTATACAAAATTAAAAAAACTGATTGGTTGCCCATTAGCCTATTCCTAACAGGCACCCACATAAACTTGCAACATATTTGTATGTATTGTTTTAAAATCTGTTGAAAAATAGCAGTAGTGTGTTGGTGTTGGACCCCCTAGAGAAGTGTTGATGCTTCCTGCTTGCCCTTTCATTTAGTGATTGTCAGCAGTGCAAGAGCTTTGTGGCTTATTTGGAATATTTCCCTCGAATTACCCAAGAGTTGTTTTCATTTACTTCCCTATCTAGCACCACACCCAGTGTAGTTTTGGCAGAAGTTTGTGGGGGTGGACAACTTGGAAGAGCCATCCTTCTATTTGTCTCTTATGAATTCTGATGTATCTTGAGTCTTTGAAGTTTGTTCATGTTGGACTGTAGTCATTCTGTTTCATGTTCTTTCAGTTGGTGTTTTACCAGTGGGGAAGGTGTTGTGGCTTCTTATATCGGGTCATGGGAAACTATCACAGATCCAATTAGTTCCCTTCCCCGCCTGTGGTAATTGCAAATTCATGCATATGGTGCAAATGTAGGAAGAGCCATCTATTCTATTTGTTCTCTTTGTCCATGACTTGTCCCTACTTATAATTCGACCTTCAAGAAGATCCCCCTTTTTTTTTTTTCCCTTACACTTTCCTAAAGAGCTTCTTTAACTGGACCTAGTAAGCTTCTTGGCGATCTGCAAAATTTTCTTTTAAGAGATTTACATCTATTTGCCACCGAGGGATATGACTGAAATTTAGTCTCGCTTGTCAATCGATGATATATATGTGTTTCAGGCAATTACAAACTGGACTTTGTTTAATGCAGGAAATTTTGGAAACTCGGGAGAAAGGCAAGTCTCACATCTGGACTTTTCGAACTCGAGAAGAAGCATCAGTTAACTGGAAAGAACAATTTGGAGATTTAGATGAAGTGGAATGACTGAGATTCAGTCCGGTATTCGTCTTTGCTGCCCCTCTCAACTTTTTCCCTACAATCGGAGAGAGATGTGCGCTTACAATATTATTTTCCTGTAGAATTTTGTTTATTTTTGTCAGGAAACTCAAATGATTAATTTGAAGACACACAAACGAGACGCAGATAAACATTTTTGATCATTGGTAGCAATAATATCAAATATTTTTTCAGTACGTAGAAAGAGAGTAATGCCAAAGCATATTATCTGATCAAGTTGGAACTTGGAAATCATGCAAAGATTTTTTTGAACTTTTCGTTAGTTTTTTTGAAAAAAAATCTGCGAATTGATAATGACACAATAAATCTAAAATTAACGCGAATATAAGAGGTTTTAGCTGCTAATTCTATTTTCTCATTAAAAAAATATCTGGATGCATACAAAGCTATTCGGGTTAGGTACCGTGGAGCCCCTCCTCGATGCCACTAACCACTAACCACTAGCAGATCAAATTCTGATTGGATGGGAAACTAATCCAATCCATGGATTACAAAAACCAAACCCAAATCCTCTTCCAAACATCAAATAGGAAACATTGTCCCTGTCTAAACAGCTACATTACCCCCCAAAATCTCACCTCCAATTTCCTAAAACGACATCGTCCCTTTGACACTTCCGCACTCCATGCGGCCATATACACAAAATATACACACTTAAAATTATGCCATAGTCAGGTATACCTTCCTTATCGTATACCCAACCGCATACTATCAATCTCCCTATCACCAATCAAAAACCCAGAAGACCGCGACTTTTCTAGTCGGACCGTTTAACGGGTCGGGAAATCGGACCCGCCGGCGACCTGAACCCGAAAGTCACAGGGTCGTAAGCGCACCAGTGGAACCCGACTTCTCTCCCCATCTCGTTCGCCCTTGAACACTCCTCGCACGCCGTCGCTCCACTACGGCGGCCCAGCCCAATCCCCAGCCCATCGGCCCGTCCCAGCCCCATGTCCGTCAAGTAACTCTCTTTCCCGGACTGCTGCTCCCTGGCCCCATTCTCGTACTCGACCCGACCCGCAAAAGGCATGGTCAATCCGGCGGCGTTTCCGTTTTCGATCTCCATGCCGCGTTTTAAGAGCATAACATTCTCGGGATGGAGATTCTTGTTGATCGGATTTTGAGCTCCAAACGACGCCGTGTTGTGGTGCTCGTCTTCTTGGAAGTCTTGGTGGTGGTGGACATGGTAATTGTGATTCTTCCGCCGCCTCGACCGCTTGAGCTCCACGAGGAAGCAGCAGTTCTTCTCGCGAGAAATCGCGCTGAAGTTGACCTTGCCGGTGATGGGGATTCGCTGGCGGGTCTCCGGCGAGGATAAGAAAACAGTGAACTGGCCCGGCAAGATTCCGATCTTGTGGCTCAGAACCGACAGGAAACGTGGGAAATCAAGCTTTGGGTAAACGACGAGGTGGCCGATATCGGTCTCGGTCTCGCCGTCGGAGAAGACGACAGGGAACGAGACACCTCCTTCGGCCTCCATCATCTCCACTCGCTCCCGTCTCCGGCGAGATGACATCAGATTTCCGGTGCTTAAATTCGTCAGAGATTCAGAAATCGAATTGGGGATGTTTGGTGGAGGGGTACACATGAACGAGAGAAGGGGGTTATATAGATGTGTGTTTTGTGGGGGCGTGGGGTGGTGGTAAATAGGGTAAGGAAGTAGGGGTATCTAGGGAATTCTGTTTTTGATGTTAACACGAATTTATTGTTGTCTGTTTTTCAGTTTTTCATTAGTTACAACATAGGAACTAGGAAGAATTTTGAACTTGACTAGTCAAGAGTCAACTATAGTACCAATCGCCCTCCTCCTTTCATTTGGAAAAATTTTTAGTTATGACGGGAACACAAGTGGTACATCATGTGTTTTAATAGGAATGGTAAAAGATTTTATTTTTTAAGTTATTAACATTTTAGCACACATATCTCATCATTTTTTTAGTGATACATAATGTACTACCCTGTATATCGATCACAGTGAAAAACCACTCCTTCAATTGCATCACTTGTGTCGCTAAAAATATAAATTCAATGTTTTCGAACTCAGATGCAACGAGACAAACACGTTGCATTTATAACCCACAATTTGCAACGAAGTTGTTTGACCTTTGAACAGATCTCTTTTTGTAGACGTACATAGTACAGTACACAAGAAATGCCTGATATTCGCGCCCTTTTAATTCCTCTGCAAACTTGAAAAGGACCTTAATTGACTTTTTGGGTTTCCATATATTTCTGGTTGTATTTGATCATATAAAATTACAGAATTACTGATGTACATGTTTTTTTATGATTAAGGCATAAATTCAGTCTGCACCTGAGTTCGAATCTCCTTCTCGTAAAAAAGAATAGTTTACAATATCGTGTTGTAAACAAACCGTCTTACCTAGTGTTTGCATAGACGGGGGCCAAAAGGAGAGCGTCATTGGAATGAGGACAAGAGCACGAGAATCACTTCAAAAATCAGATTGAAAAATTGGAAATAAGTTTTATTTCAAGCTTTTATAATTTAACAGACATGTCAAGATTGTTGTTAAAGAAATGAAACTCATGGTACACATGGACGGTCACAGATATCTGTGTTTCATGGGACAATATGGTTGGTTTTGTACACCAGAAAATATTCACCCCCACCAATATAATTGGACGCCAATGCCTTTCCAGCCGATGTTGGTTGAGAGAATGCCAGCTGAGAGCGTTTGAGGACAAATCCCATGCAGAAACTTTTCCTGTGATGGAGAAATAATATGTAAACATCCAAATGCCAGATAGAACAGACATCGACAAGAAGCAAGTGATTCAATCTTCTGTGATAATAGGACAGATAATGATTTCAGATGATCAGAGGTTCAAAATAATTTCTTAGTTCCGAAGGACATATGATCGGTATGAATAAGGACTGAATGAAAAGAACTAGCGTTTCTTTCAGACACTTGGACAATGTTTATACTAAAATCTACTTAAAAGTTAGCAGACGTAATTAGCAGTTCGTGATCCAAATCGCAGTGTTTTATTAAATAAAATATTGGAAGGGAAACAAAATCCAATAAATAAAAGGGGGTCAGAGAATCAATACAAATATTCATATAAATAAATAAATAAAGTCTAAGATTTTCTGCAAGGGAAATCCCAGTTTAAATTCACACTAAACCCTTTTCCCAATTCTCTTAACTCCATTTCCTAATTCTCTTAACTGAAGCGAACCCAGAAACAAAACAACTCAAAAAATGAAAAACTTTTTCTCGGCATCCAAACAGCTCAAATCCCAGAACAAAAAACGAATACCTTTGCGGGTTTGGAGCTCTTCGCTTATAGGTGTTGCAGTATTGGTGCTGCGTCTTTTCCCAGACGGTCAATTCGTCGTCGTTTCCGCCGGTAACAATCGGAGGTGGGGCTGCTGGTTTGGGTGAAGAAGAAGAAGAAGAAGAAGAATAGGAGGAGGATGGTTTGAAGAAGGCACTGATCTTTGATTGCATTTCATGAATGCTTCGTATTTGATTTGAATTCGATCTGAGTTCATTGCCCTTCCATCGTCATTTCCTTTGCTTTTGGCGCGCAGAAATAGGGGGCTCGAGTTAATTTTCCCGCCTAATTTATGTAGCCTTCGCAAATTTATTTGGGGCTTCTGCCCCTTTTGAATGAACCCTTGCTACATTTTAGTCAGACACGACGGCCATGGGAGGCGTGCATTCAGTCCGGGCCTTCGAATACCTAAGCTGAACAAAGTCAAGGATCGATGACCAACAAAGATCCAGAAGCCGTACTCTAGCAATGGTCAGGTTCTGGACCGTCTTTTCTCTTCAAATTCCTTGCACTTTCGCCACAGTTACATAGTTCTGCAACATCGGAGAATCAAATGTAGCGGGTGTTTAAAGCTGTCTGGAAGACAAGTTGCTAAACTGTCTATCAAAAATAGTCGTTAAAATTCCAAATGTCTTCAAGTGTGAATGTAAATAAAGCTACAAGGCCTGAAGCACATTCCTTTATCTTAAAATTGGTCATTCGCTAATCGCTGAAATTCCAAATGTCTTCCTGTGATTCTAAAGCTACAAGGTCTAAAGCACATTCCGGGGGCATATACTTTCGTCTCCCTCCTCCCACTAGATTAAGTGTACACCGGAGACATCAACTTCTGAATAGTAATACTATTGATCATTTCTCTTTGTTTATCTATTCGGGAGGGAGTGGTTAAAACGCTATGTGAATTATCGGAGTCCTACAGATAAATGAATGAAGCAAGCACATGAAATTACAGATGGTTGTGACGTAGAAGACTCACAAGACAGCTTACTTGGGTTAACAACGCCCTTCTAGACTGACTGAATCTCACCCTGCAGAGTAGTTATTACATTCTGCAGTCTACCAAGTGCACATTGCACCTTGTGCCCTTCTGCAATCGTCATGCTGATTTCCTCTAATGACTGCATAAATAAAGTCGAACAAAGTTATATTTTATTGGCTTTTTATTACAGGACAGGATATTTGAAGATTCCAGTTCATCAACTCTTGTGTCACAACGTGTAACTATGAGATTATGTCCTGGTAACTAGCAACTTACCGCACAAAGATACGTTCATAGAGGTTCCTATTGGAAAACACGAAAATTTAAGATGAGCCTGTAAAGCAAAATATCCTTGTTGGATCTCTTTGCCAAGGATAATGAGTCGATGACTATGCGAGCATGGATTACTAGTTCTCTTTGTTAGAGAGATACTAAATGTCCTGAATGGTGGATGAATATTTTTATCGTCATTTTGGTTACAACTGCAGAAAGCGTATAGAGGCCAGCCTAATCCTAACCCATTAATACTGAAAATCTAATTAATAAATGAAACGTAAAGAAAATCCTGATTAACTAGTGAAAAGAGAAACCAAAGGGACAGGAAAGATAAAGTACTCATAAGATAAAGTACTCAACTTTTAAGTAGAGCAATTCAATTACCTTATTACATTAAAGCCTGAAAAACAATAAATCATTTGATATGTATTGGTTGGTGGGGAAAAAAAATAACACTAGTAGAAAATTAGAAATTTGAAAGTCATCATAAGATGTCAACCGGTGGAAATAGAAATTACGAACACATACTAATACAAGCCATGAAGAGGAGAAGAAATTCTGTCAGACATACCTGGGAAAACTATGAAATGGGAGAGCAAAGTGATCAAGAAACTAATGTGATCAACAATCTGGATACGCCAAGATTTATAAGCTGAATTCAGGACCTGTATGATTCGAAATAATACACATTGTTCCAGATCAGGACCTGCAATGAACAGCAAGAGATAGAAATGTCAATAGAACATTCCAATTTGCAAAGAACTCGTCATACTTCAACAATGTTCATACATTACTGGAAAGCAGAAGAGAGACATTCATCATTACTTCATATTGTTAGCATATAACATCAGTCAGAAATTCAGAATCACCCTTTGATGTTTAATGGCACGTCTAACCCCCTGTGTATTTGGACCTAATCACTTAACAAATGACAGTTACATTTGGACATGAATGGCAAGTATCTATCTTCCAGTTGAACGAAAATTACTATCATTCAACCACAAAATTATGCAACGAAATGTGCACCAAAATGATTTTAAAATGGTTTCTACATCAGATTTTAAAATTATGTTCTCTTTCAAACGAAGAAACTGAAGCAGATAGGATTTTTTTTTTCCTGATTCCTGTAGTAAAAGATACCTATACCACCCAATAAAACTACCATGCAGTAAGGAACATATCTGGTACCCATGTAACTTCAACCCAGAATACTTTTGGAATAACAAGGTTCCTTTATAACCGTTATAATAGAAACAAGAAAAGCTTGCATGTTAATGGCACGCTTGAGACATTAATAAAAGTCCAAATAATATCTATAGGGAGATTCGTACAGCATGCCAAAGCTTAAGCCGTCAAATCCTTCTTTGAAAATGCCAACATGTTCAGATACCCATAGATTGTAATGAAAACCCCAAATACAGAACAGAAATTGCAAGACATACAAGAAATATCTTAGAAGAACAAAACAGACAGAAATTGCGAAAACTTCTTAGAATAGAAACAGTAATGAGATTAAAAGTTATATTAAGGTTATAATTTATACCTTTTCTGAAAGTTGATTTATCATGTTCGGTGGAAACAAAACTTGCAAAAACTTCTTCACTAGTGTCATAGAGATAGTATCTCCCCACAGAGTCACATCAAGCGCCCCTTGTGAAGGTTTTGATTCTAGTTTACCCTCATCAGTCATATAAAAAATGAATTTGACTGCAAGTTTTATGCTGTTAAGTATGGACAGCATACAATCAAATGATTGTGTGGTAATAAGTGAGCCAGTCTGAACTTCCGGAATAAAATCTTGGAAACAATTGACTAGAACTGGGACAAGGTCTTTTAGTTTCGGGATGATGATCGAACATCCTACAAAAGAAAGCAAGAAGGTAATAGGTCAAAATGAAAAGGGGAAAAAGGTATTAAATCATTGAAGTTCTTGGATTGCGGAATTCTTTGTCCAATAAACTGCGACTTATTAACACAATGTAGTAATAAGCTATTTGATATTATCAGAGTGAAATTTGATTTCTCCTAATGTGAGTATGCTGCCAACTGCAAGGCGTTTGAAAATAAGAAGTACAGGGTAATAAATTTACGTAACTAAAATAAGTAGTGTCATTCGAAAGTTCAGGAACTTGAACTATCAAATTCACATTGATCTCAGTTGTGAAATGAGCTATGACTAGACAAATGGTGCCATCAGTAAAACATAATCGATAATGACATTAAACACAAGCACCAATGTATCACATACCAGCAGATATTGCAGGTACATCAGGCTCAAAAACATGAAGTATCCCTCGTCCAGCGCCATTCTATTAAGTAAAAGGAAAGGTATTATAAAACTATCTCATAAATACGGCAAGAGACTAAAAGCAGTAACTCAGAATAGTTGCTTCTTTCTGACTGAACCATGCTTTACACCCCTCTTCTAAAATAACTAAGTAGAGAAAACATGGTATGAATTTGCATGTGTCAGAGACTGTCCTCTTGATTCTAAATTTACAAATAAAAGTTCAGTTCCTAGTACAATAACCCCTTTTCTTTACTGGTCCACCGTTCAGCACAAGAGCAAACCATATGCGTTGCAGAATTAAAACATAATATAAGATTAGTCAATTCATGGGCATGTGCCTGGTGCTACGTTTCTTTACCCCGCTCCATGACAGTTTATATACTTCTTACACTTGCAGCCTAATTAGTGAATTTTTGCAAGCATTAAGCTTCCCCACAACTCCAGCAGAAATATCTGAAGTATAATAATAGGAACACAAGATCCAAAGTTGAACTAGCTAATTTGTCTGCAGATGTAGATTGAAGACTTATGTACGGCTTAAACTTTATGGCCCCAATAAGATATTGATGATTATAATAACAACATAACAAAATTAGCAGCAGCATGCAAACCAGTTAGTAGTCTTCCCGATTTTAAGAAAACTTAAAAATACCATTTCACATGAGCCCATCTCTCTAGTTACATGGCAAAAGCGACAAGCATAGCTCCAAGCGGGCAAGAGCAGTCTTGAGCTTGCCCTTGTCCTCTAAAAAAAACTGGTTCCTCCGCAGAATATCCTCAAAGCTTTGAAGAATCTGTCAATGAAGCAATTGTTAAAACAACCTTAAAAGTTCTCCTTAAACACAAAAGAGAGCGGTAACACAGAAAGATTCGAGTTCATCCAAAATTTAGACTCATTAGCATCCAAACAAAAAAATTAATCACATAAAGATAGGGACATAACATATACATGCACAAAGGACTGAACCCTCAATGATTGATAGGAAATAAAGCAGTGGAAAAATATAAAGGCAACCAAACAAACAAGCTCACGCACCCACCAGGGATAAAGATTCAATTAAGAATATCTGCATATAGGAATAACATGCGTAGTGGGAAAAAGTAAGAAAGAAAGAAGACGACAAGTAACCTAAAGCTCAACATCTATACGAAATTTCCTGTTATAAAGCAGAATTAGAGCAAAGAAAACATCAAGAGAAGAGACCAAGAATCACAGAAAGAGCAGAGTCTTGGAGAAAAAGAATGTTGTTGAATAAGGCCTCAATCCATAACACAAGACCACAAAGTAGAAAAAGAATGTTGTTTTACCTTCAGAAGAAACGGTTCTGCTTCGGTTTTGTCTCAGACCTCCCTTTTTTCTTTCGGTTTTACCTTCAGAATAATCGGTTCTGTATTGGTTTTGTCTCAGTCCTACCCTTTATTTCGGTTTTTTACCTACATAGGAACCCATCGGTTTCGGTTTTGTCTCAGTCCTCCCCTTTCTGTTTCGGTTTTTCCTCAGAAGAATCGGTTCTTTTTCGGTTTTTACATTAACTAACCGCTCAGGTTTCGGTTTTTCACCCGTATTCTGTCTGTCTGTCTCTAGCTATTCAAATGGATTCTCGCTTGACGCTGCACCAGGATTTTACTACTATGGCTGCCGAGGTTCAACGAACTCGCATGGTTTCAGGCATTCAGAGCTTGGTAGATTGTAATTGCTCTCCCATCGAGCCGGACCAATGATTATGGCTATGCTGAACCAGCTAGAGCACTCTGTTCCCGCCTACTCAGCCTTTTCAGTTCTGGTTTTTGCCTTCAAAATGTTCGGTTTCGGCTTTTACTCTCGATCTGTCTCTGTCACTCCCCTCAATCCGTTCGGTTTTCGTTTACCTGCAATTCGGTTTTGTTGTTAAAAGAATCGGTTCGATTTCGGTTTTCTGCCTTAAAACAACAGGTGTTGTTTCGGTTTTAAGCCTTAAGACAACGGGTACAAATGCCCCTTTTTACCTTATGAAAACCGGTGCAACTTCGGTTTTTATTTAAACGAATCGGTTCGCAACTTCGGTTTTTATTTAAACGAATCGGTTCGGCTTCGGTTTTACCCTTCAAAGAGGGATCCCATTTCGGTTTTTAACTCAAAGAACCGATCCTATTTCAGTTTCTACCTTCTAGGCTTGTAGGCTTCTAGTACAATAGACGACGGTGCAGCAACAGCAACCGCAACCAACAACGCACAACTCCACGCCACCGCAGAATCCCTTTGCGGGTCCACTACTGTAGAAGGGCCGCCATAACAGGTGTCGCAGGTGATGGAGCGGCTTTCTCACGCCGGCCGCCTTTTCGCGGACATAAGGCTTAGCGCCATCAGCCTCCTCGAAGCCCTGTTCGTGGCCGTTCAGCCACACCAGAGGCTTAAACAGTTTCGATTTCATTTTTATTTTCAAAAAATGGGTTCGGTTTTTACCTTTAACATGGTCTCAGACTCTCAGTTTTTTCCTCTTCAACTGCTTCTATCACGTTTTTTTTACCTCGAAATATCGGTTAGTTCGGTTTTTTAGCTAACAAATTTCGGTTTCGGTTTCTACCTTTAGTGTCGTTCTCCTTCAGTTTCTAGTAACCGGTTGAGTTTCGGTTTTCATCTTCCGGTTTCGGTTTTTGTCTCGGTCCTCCCCTTTTTCTTTTGGCTTTACTTTTGGTAAAATCGGTTTTGTTTCGGTTTGTCTCAGTCCTTCCCTTTTTCTTTCGGTTGTAACTTGAGAAGAATCGGTTCTGTTTCGGGTTTGTCTCTGTCCTCTTTTTCTTTCGATTTTATCGTATAGGAACCTATCCGGTTTCGGTTTTTGTCTCTGTCATCCGCTTGTTCTTTCGGTTTTATCTCAGAAAAATCGGTTATGTTTCGGTTTTGTCCCAGTCCTCCTCTCTTTATTTCGGTTTTACCTCAGAAGAATCGGTTATGTTTCGGTTTACATTAACTAACCGCTCAGATTTCGGTTTTTACCCTTATGCACTCTGTCTCAGACTCTCTCCAGCTATTCAGTTGGACTCTCACTGGATGCCGCACACACTAATCGACCCGTTGGGGTCCGACGACTTCATTTGCCGCCGAAATTTTGACGGATTCCGTCACCTGCAGTGGTCTAGCGGAAGAGGGAGCTAAAGACGACGGAGGTGTTGCGGTGGTCTAGTGCCACAGACGACGATGCAGCAACAACAACCACCGCAAGCAACGGCCTATAACTCCTCGAATAAAATTTGCCGTTTCAATTTTCTGATCGGAATTAGACAATTAGGGTTTTTGATTACCAACTACCGTAGATCTAACAACAGATTTGAATTTTACATTCTGCAAAAGGAGATCACTTGTTTTACTGCTGCAGATTCTGTGCAACGTAAACTTGCTGTTCTTAAAAGCTCCGGTTTGAACATTTTCAGTTTTGGTTTTTCCCTTCAAAATGTTCGCTTTCGGTCCCTCCCCGTAAACGCTTTCGGTTTTGCTTTACCGGCTATCGGTTTTGTTGTTAAAGTACACGTTGATTTCGGTTTTAAGCTTAAGACCGGATTGGTTTCAGTTTTGAGCTTTAAACAACCGGTTCGGTTTTGGTTTTAAGCTTAAAAAAAAAAAAAAAAACCATTTTCTAGACTCTCTTACAATTAGACGTTTTATGAATTCTCTGCCGTCTCATCATTTTGACATAATATTTTATAATATTGGTACAAAATTTGATGTTAAACAGTAAGATGATAGAGAGTTCGACTTCTGAGGAAGACCATTAGCAATCTTCTTGAGCTTAAACAACAGGTTCAATTTTAGTGTTAAGCATAAAACAAACATGCTTTTGTGGACTCTTTCAAAATTAGATTTTTATGAACTCTATCTCATCCTTTTAACATAATACAAATACGAAATTTAAGTTAAACAATAAGATGCAAAAGAGTTCACAGGAGTTCGACTTTTGAGAGAAGGGCATTAGCATTGCTCTTGAGCTTAAACAATAGGTTCGGTTTCAGTTTCAAGCCTTTAAAACAACCGGTCCAAATTCGGTTTTACCTTATCGCTTTTTATTTAAAGAACCGGTTCGGCTTTTGTTTTACCAAGAAGGATCCCGTTTCGGTTTTTAACGCAAGCGAACTCATCCGATCTCATTTTTTACCTTCTAGCCTTCTAGTAACCATAGACGACGATGCAGCAGCAGCAGCAACAACCGCAAGCAACGACGCAGAACTCCACGCTGCCACAGCCTTCCTTTGCGGGGTCCACCACGGTGGAGGCGCCGCCAAAACAGGTGGCGCAGGCGATGGAGCGGCTTTCTCAAGCCAGCCGCCTCATCGCGGACATTAGGATTGGCGCCGACCGCCTCCTCGAAGCCCTGTTCGTGGCCGCTCAGCCGCACCAGAGCTCCAAGCCTCTCCAGTTGTTCCTCAACGAGGACGCCTCCATGCGCCAACACCTCCTCGACCTCCGCTCCGTCGGTACCTCCTCCTCCCTCTCTCTAGGGTTTAATTCACAATTTGCTATCTCGCATTGAAAAATCCTCGAATTTTTAGGGATTTGGCGCTAATTTTTTGTTAGGAAGACAGCTGGAAGAATCTGGAGTTTTGAACGAGTCTCTGCGATCGCGGAGCAATTCTTGGGGATTACACATGCCGTTGGTTTGTCCGGATGGCGCTGTGGTTGCGTATGCTTGGAAGCGGCAGCTTGCCGGCCAAGCTGGTGCTTCTGCAGTTGACAGGACCAGGTTGGTTTCGAGTTTCATAGGATTGGTCTTCCTGCTTGTTAGCATTGCCTCTCTATTTCCTTTACTCGAAAATTAATGATTAAACGATTTTTTTTTTTTTTAAATTCAAAAGCATATGGAAGCTTCTGTTCCCCAAAAGTATAGATTTTGAATAATTTTCACTGTAAAAAACATGGAACCAATACAAGTTTCGTAATTTCATAGCAGGTTTCAAATCTGGTTTATTGAGGATTATATTTAGTGCTTGTGTATTTTGTTGTGTTGACCTTTGAAGCCATTTCTTGAATTCTGTTATTCAATGTTTTAGGCTAGCTCTCAAGGCATTCACTGATCAGAAAAGGCGATTTTTTCCTCACCTTGATGATGCATCAAATGATCAATGTAATGAATCAGCTTCGAAGAAGCAACGCATTTCCCAAGCACCCGCAGCACATAATCAAGAAGATGGTTTAGATTGCAAAACGCTATCAGAGGTTTTACTGCGTATGGAAAAGGTTCCTAATTTGAAAGTTTCCATTTATGAACGATTGGATTGGTTGAAACGAGCATCTTCACTGCCAGAAAATGAGAGTTCCAGTGAAACATTAAAGGATCATGGTTATCATAGTTCAAGTAAGTTACGATCAGGTCCGCCTGATGTTGCACCAGATAAGGTTGCTGTCATTGAGTTGCTGTTTCCTTCTACCTTCAGAGCTGTAGTTTCATTGCATCCTGCTGGTTCTATTGACCCAGATGCAGTGGCATTTTTTTCTGCCAGATGAGGTGATCTTGGTTACCACCATGCATATTTCAGTTGATCAAATTACATAGTCATCCTATGATAAACTAGCTCCAGATGCTACTTAGGTTGTATGATATTAGAGTTTGTAGTACTATCCAATTGTACAGTGGATCTGTCAGGCTGTAACCAACCGTGCGGTTGAACATCCTGAACTAGCTTATAATTGCATTTGTGTTCAATTGACGATATATCATAGACTCTGGTTTTGATGAACTTAAATCATTTGTTGTTCAACCTCAAACATATATATCCCAGTTTCATGCTATGTTAAAACGTGTCATGTATCCTGTGTTCTGTTACAAAGCTTTTAGATTTTCAATCCCCGCAAAAGAAAAAAAAAAAAAATTGCGCTGAGCATTTTTGTACTTTTCCTATATTCGAAACTGATCCATACCGTACGATTGAACTTTACGACATGCTTTAGTAGAACTGATACTTGCATTCGTGTTCAAAAGAAGATGGTATATCATAAACTCTGGCTTGATGAACTTAAATCATTTGTTGTAATCATTGCTTGTTCAACCTAAAAACACATTTTCCAGTTTCATGCTTTGTTGAGGGTAGCCTCTGTTCTGTTACAAAGCCTTTAGATTTTCACTGGTTTTCGGATCCTATAGGAATGTGTTTCTCTTCTTTTTTCCTCCAATTATTACGGAGCATGATTGTATTTTCATTCTATAACAGGGAGGCAGCTACATACATGCAAGAGGTGTTTCAATTTATCATGTCTATAAGCATATCACGGTAAAAGCTTTAATCAACTATTCAAGTTTATTTTAGTCAGGTAATGGTCTTTCTATTAAATTGCGTATCATTTCTTCTTTCAGGAACATGCTGCTACTGCTTTGCAGTATTTCATTGGAGTTCGAGCTGAGACAGCTTTACATTGTCTTTTGGTACCATCTTTAGCGTGTCTCTGTGAACCAACTATCTATTAAATTATATGCGTGCACCAGCTTATACACATTAAATTCTAACTTTCTGTGTTCATTCTATAGCATTGGATCTGCAGCTATCAAACTCTCTTTACAAAAGTTTGCAGGTACAACCTTCTCACTTTATATGTCTGAAATCTTTTACTTTCTTTGAAGTTATTGACGTTACATTTTTGATGCAGCAAGTGTGGACGGCTGCTAGCAATGGACCGGAAATCAGCTCAACTGTTACCGCCAGTTTATCGTCCTTATCGGCAGTTCACCACATTGAATGTGTCATCAAGTTTGAATGTTTCCGGGGCTTACCACGTAGGTTGTTTCTCAGAGGAATTGTGATCTCCACTGTTGACAGGTAAAAACTGTCTGTTGTCTCAGATATGGAATTGGCAAGATAAAGAAATTATAACACATCATTCAAAGAACTCCCACTCAAATGTTGAATTTTATGTCTTTTCTTAATTTGTTTGATAGCTGTGTTGAAACTGGGTCGTGAACTTTTCATTTATGATGTTTTTTCAGTATTTCAGGGAGATGGTTATAATCAAATTATCTGCACTATAATCTATTTTCTAGTCTTGTGACAATGCATAAAATGAACAAAAGTTTTCTTCTTGTCTCCATCATCAATTGGCCTTAGCAAATTCTACAGCCATTTCATACTTCATGATGGTCTTATCAGTTGTATGTGTTAGCTGTATTGGCACCTATGGACTGGTCTGACAGTTTTGTGTTCTGTTGAATACTAATGATATGATTCGTATCATGTAATTTACCATGAGGCTGCCTTATTCTCTTTTTTGGTTCATACTGTTGAACCAGCCGTTATCTTGGTCGTCGGTTTACTTAATCAAGAAAATTATCATAAGAAACATGTTGATCACTAGTTAGAAGTCGTACTCGCTTTTCTTTCTAACTGAATTGCCAATGCTGCCTTTCTTCTTTTTCCTTGTTATGGTTTGATTGTTTTGTATCTGTAGTACTAGTAAATGATAGGTTGTCTTATTTTTTTCGAATATTGTGTTTTTGTTAAAGTTTACTAGCATGTGTGTTCCTCCGATTCAGGTGTTATTATCTTTAATCGGCATAAGTCTCAGTTGTGCTATGGGAAATCGCCCTTCTGATGTTGCCCAATAGATTTTATTTGTAGAAAAAGATGCAAGCAGTGCCTAGACAGAATTCGTGACATTCATGTATGTGATCATACTTCTAGAACAAGGCCGAGTGCTTGACATTTGAGAAAAAAAAAAACTTCTAATTGTAGTTTGCTACAGCGGACCGTCGTAATTCCATGTTAGGTTAAAAGGAAATTCGATATATTTGTTGTGGGATTCGTTGTTCGGCTTGCAGGATGTATACCGTTTACTCGCAAGAGTAGATGTCACCTACATGCTGTTCTATCATCATTTTGAGTGCAATAGTTGCATACTTGCATGAAGCGCGCTCGGGTGTAAAGTGATTGTAGTTGGACATTGAGATCAGATTGAAATATTTACGTTGTTAAGCAGGTCACGTCCGAAAATGGGTAACGGGGACAAAGGGATTGGGCAAATGTGCATCCTCAATTGCCTTGCCAATGAACTTTCTCTTTGACATGTACGAAGTTACAACTTACAAGTGTTGTTCCCTTGAATCTCACAAGCTGTTTCGGAGTTTGCTAATTCGACTACAAAATATTATGGTGTTACAAGTTCAGAACTTGTGGCCGTGTTTGGTACACCTACTTAGGGCTTAGGAAGTATTGTTTTAGAGCTTGTTTGGAAGTGTTTTTAAAATGATAGAAAACATTTTTGATGAAAGTGCTTTTGGAATCCTTGGTAAAAATGCAAATGAAGTTTGGAAAAGCACTTCAAGTGCTTTTAGAACCCAAATACTCACCAAAAGCACTTTCAATCATTTTAAAACACTTTCATATGGCCACTCAATACTACGGTTTGGTGGTATTCTTCTTCACTTGGAAGTGAGAGATCTTAGGTTCAAATTTCGTTGATGACGAATTCGATATCAAATTAGGTTGCTCATTGTGTGATTTAGTCGAACTTTTCCTACCTTTAGTGTAAAAATGTTTGTACCAAAAAAAAAAAAAACACTTTCAAACGAATCCTTAAACAAGACCACACTTCTTGTCATGAGTGACTCGGTTATATGGGGGCTATAGGCCTTGTTTGTTCGAGAGGATTGGATTAGGTAGGATTATACACAATATTTAAGGTATTTTGGAGGAAGGAATAGATGACAATTGTGGAGATTAGTAGGATATCTTTTCTTCATGAGTAACCTTCAATTTGGGCAAAATGAGGAAGTTGTCAAATATTTCTTTTTTTCAAAATACTTTCTATATGGTGAATAGCCATATCCAAGTTAATCCGTCGTTGATGTATTGTGAGATTCATATGCATCAATGACCTACACATCTCAGACACGCGTGAGCGACTTACAAGACCAAACCAACAAGACATTGCCACCTGTGGAAAATGACAGTGATTAGGTGTCATGCAACAGCAATCATGTCGGGAACTCACATGCGTTGGTTCGTGTTACTAGCACTAAAATGCTGACCACCGCCACCACCACGCCTTCGGCTCTTTCGATTGGTCATGGCTTTCCGCGTTCTAGAGAGGGGCCCACGAGACATTGTCATCTTCCTCAATTTTAGGGACTGATTGAACGCCCTAAAAGTTCCCACTTGACAGCCCCATGACCAAATATGTAATTCCAGTTAGGGCCCACAAGCATGAACAGCCTGGTGGGCTCCGTGTGTTCTTTCATTGATTCCAAACAGTTAATTTTAAGAAAAATTAATGAAAATAACTTGAAAATTTAGAGTTTTAACGATAAAGATAAAATAAAGTGTAAAATAAATAGTATCAAGATTGACATTTTAGTGTAAAAATATGATTTTTCGTTAAAGTTCCTTTAATTTTATGATTGATGAGGTTTTATTATTTTGTTTTTTTGATATTGTTATATTCCTACAAGCAATAGGACTACTCTATGCTTTATTAAGGCAAAAATGAGAGTTGGCACAAAAAAACACAGTGGGTTGAAGGGAAAATGTCATATCCACTTGGATAATTCACCACTACAGTAACAAGGCTGTTTAGACATTAATTTTTTAGTGCCTTAATTGAACCAAATTCAATACACTAATCTTGGTTCACTGGTTATATGTCACCCTCAGTTGAATTAGATCTTCAACCCCATCTCAGCTTCTGACTTTAAACTCAATGTAGCCAACCAGCTATCAAATTACTTCAACCTAACCTTGTCTGTTGAAGGAAGCTTGATCAAACAGAAATGATTTCTGCACACTTTCTTTTTTTCTTTTGCCTGCTCGGGCTACTCTTCCCCCTTAGTTTTCTTTTAGCTTTTTCAGTCTAAAGACCTGAAATAAACATGCGTGTAAAGGAGAAGAAACATGACGTTCGGTAATCACTTCCCTTTGATCTGATCAAATCATATATTATCCTAAAGTGAAGCAATGTGACGTTGTGTGAATATATTTTATTTCTTCCTGGCTTCCTAATTATTCCTATGTCAACACTAAATTGTTTGGCGAGATTACCATCCTGAATCAACCAGATTTAAAATTGGTTTCCAATAAGCCCCCTTCTCATCAATTTTAAACTGGCACAAATCATATATAACTTTAGTCTCCAACCTACACAAGATAGCAGTTGCGAGCCTTGGCGCAATAGAAGGGTTGCTCCCTTGTGACCGAAAGGTCACGGGTTCAAGTTGTGGAAACAGCCTCTTTGCAAAGCAAGGATAAGGCTGTGTACTATAGACGTTATCCCCGACCCTCGTAAAGCGGGAACCTTGTTGGCTTGGGGTCTCCCTAGTACCAAACCCTAAACCTATTGGTTAACTTCAGCCTTTACAACCAAATAAAACGCCGGAACATTCAGATTTCCGGTTACAAAAATGTTTACTTTCAATCTGCAACTTGGGTATGTTCTAGTTCTGGACATAAAAGTCTTCACAAGACTCAGAACCATGCAAACATTCTCATGAAACTCAGATGCGGAATTTAAAGTAAAAGATTAAGAGCAAAAGGAACCAGTTCTCGTTCATAATTGCGCTTTATCTACAGCATTAGCGCGTAAAATCTTAAAAGCGGAATATATCATAGCTTACACGGGAGATCTCTACCAAAATCTCCAACTCAAAACCAACATCACAAAATATATATTGACATTTAATCCCCAAGCAGATATCATAACACAACATACTATCTACACCTAACAGAGGATGGAAAAACAACCTCTAGAAAGGAAAATGAACCGAACAAAAGTACCTCCTTTACCGACCATCAGCGGAAGTAAAAGACTCTGCAAAGCCAGTTGGCCTTGCCGGTATACTCCCCTTGCTGTCTTCCAGGCTCAGATAACCGGAGTCCTTTCCTTCTGCGTCCTGCCAACCCTTCACCATCTGGTTAAGCGGCTGGCTATAATCAATCCCAGAATACTCCTCATTCTCATCATCAACAGGTTTCCATTTTTCAACAAGTGGGGACAATACATTCACGGCATGGCCCATATCCGGTCTTTGGCTGGGTTCCCTTGCAGTGCAGTGCCCAGCAAGTTCTGCAATTATAGCAATGGTCTCAAATGTTTCTTCTTTTCTATCAAGAGTTGGGTCAATAGCAGCCATGAGTTTCTCCTTATTCGATTTTATGTGCCAGAACCATGCAGCCAAGTATTGGCTTTCTTCAGGTCTATCCTCATCTAGTGCCAGTCATTCCGGTTAATAGCTCCATTAACACAACCCCGAAACTGAAGACATCTACTTTTGTTGTGATTTTTCCCGTCACTGAATCAATCAGCAAGTGAGGTGGAGTTAGCAGGATTGATCACAAGCATCAAAGGAAGACAACAGAAATTAAAGAAGTATATACTGCAGAATAAAGAAGTTAAACCTTTAACTCCTAGCAAATTGTGTCATAGTTTGATAATAATTCACAAACTCTAATATTCGTTCCCAAGAAACATATATTTCGGAAGATACATTAAATTCAATTTATATATGATCAGGATAGCATTTTGTGCGGAGGGTAATGCTGCTAAACTCATGTTGTGTCAGCTATACTATTTGAATTGGAAGAAACATACAAATCATATGTATATGAAATATCAATCAGTAATATAAGTTGGAAACGTCTCAGAAAGCTTACCAGCATACTCTGGTGCTAAGTAACCAAAAGTCCCGGCAAGCCTGGTCACAACAGATTTTTCACCATCAGGAGCCAGTTTCACCAATCCAAAATCCGAAACTTTTGCTTTAAAATCATCACCAAGTAAGATATTTGATGATTTAAGATCTCTGTGTATGAAGCTTTTGTGAGCTAGATTGTGAAGATAATCCATCCCCCTAGCAACATCCAAGGCAATGTTTAGCCTCCTCTTCCAAGAGAGTGGCTCTAATTCGAAGGTCTTCCAATGGAAAAGATGCCTGCTCAGAGCCCCTTGAGGCATATATTCATAGACGAGCATTCTCTCATTTCCTTCAACGGAATAACCCAAAAGTGATACCAAATGACGGTGTCTAACCTTTGACAGAACTGCAATTTCAGACTGGAATTCATCCAACGCTTTGTTGCTAATCACACCAGCCTCCATTCTTTTCACTGCTATTTTTGTCCCGTCATCCAATTCTCCCTTGTAAACCACCCCAAAGCCACCACGGCCTAACTCATTTTCTGGGGCGAAATTCTTTGTCACATTTCGAAGAACTTGAACTGATATGATGAGATTCCCAGCTTCAATGACATGAGACTCAGCTCTACCACTACTGTTTCTGCTTGCAGAGCTCCCTGTAACCGTAGAAGCGCTTCCCTGGGTATTATCGGCAACAACAACCTTAACCATATTATCCGGATCAGATGGATCTCTCGGGTGAATTACAAGTGAACTTGAATTCTGGATTGCGTCTCTTCTCTTCTTACAGCAGTACATAGATAAAGGAAGTACAAGCAAAACAGCAATAGCAGCAACACTTGCAATCGGAGCTACAATAAAAATAATGCTAGACCTTTTCGATCCTTTTTGTTGGTTTGGTTCAGAAGTACCATTGACACGAGAGCCTGAGCCTGTCGACGAGGAATGGTTATCCTTTGGTGCTGTCGATGAAGAAGGGCTACCCTTTGGTGCAGCACCCGCCGCAGATGGATTACCATTAAACAAAAGATTCCCATCAACGGAAACTTTGACAGTGCTACTGAATTTCGGCAATGGAGGGGAAATATTGTTCCCACTAAGATCCAACTCAGTCAAGGATTTCAAGCTAGTCCAATTGTCAGGAACAAAACCTTGCAAATTGTTATTCTGAAGCCTAATTTGAACAAGAGATTCTAAGTTCGCAACCGAAGGACTCAAGGTACCATTCAGATTATACTTGGGCAGATTTATAACAGACACCTTCCCATTGTTCCCACAACTCACTCCCAACCACGACCCGCACGGATCATTACCAGACCACTTAGAAACAAGCGTTGAAGGGTAATTCAACCCGTCAAGGAACTCGATGAGTGCCATAACCTCCGCGGCGCAAGGAACCCCGGGAGTAGATTGACAAAACGCATTCATATCAAAACTCTTATTGCGAGCTTTGAATTTCGGGATTGGACCCATCAAATGATTATTGTTCAAGATCAATCTATCAAGTGCCAAATTAGCCAAACCATCAGGAACTAAACCAACAAATCGGTTTTGATTAAGATTGAGATCTTTCAAAGAAGTTAAATTACCAATGCTGTCCGGAATCACGCCGGAAAACTGGTTCCCGTGAAGCCACAAGCTGTTGAGCTGCACCATTGTGGTCAGAACATCAATCGGACCACTCAATCCGTCGCCGGTTGGGTTGTTTAGCCAAAGAATCTGCAAATTCAGGCCCTTAAAGCTCGGCGGGATGCCGCCGGACAGTCCGTTGCCCGACAGTTGCAAAACCGTTAAGGACGACATGTTCCCGAGAAATCGGGCAACGGACCGGCCAAATTACAACTCATGCAACTAAGATTCTGCAACTGCGCCGAGTTCCCCAGCTGAGGAGGGAAATTCCAGCCTGTCGTGGCATTCAAAGTGTTGCCGTCCAACGCCAAAACCTCAAGAGAATCGAGGCCTTCGAAGAAGTCGACAGGAATCGAAGTGAAGTTGTTGAAATCCAAGTAAGCAAACCGGAGCTTGGACAGCCCTTTGAGGGAAGGGATGGGCCCACTGAACTGGTTCCTCTGGAGGCCAATGTTTGAGAGCTCAGTGAGTTGGTTCAAGTTCTGGGGCAGAGGACCCTTCAGGCCAAGGTTCTGGACTTGAATCTGGGACACTCTCGAACCGGCGCAGAAGACGTGGGGCCAACTGGCCCCACATGGGTCGTCGCCATTTTCCGGCCACTCCAGGAGCTCTGGATTTTGCAGGTTTTTTCTCAGCTGGTTGAGAATTGCTAGGTCGTTCGGGTCTGTAGCGCTCAGAGCAAGTGAAGCAAGTGAGAGAAGCAGGAGTGAGAGAGCAAGCTTTGCTGCAGCACTATGGTGTTCTTCCATGGCAGATCTGCAGCTTCAGAAGTAGCATTGAAGAAAACCCAGAAAGCTGTGGAGAAGAAGCTTTATGCAAGCATCAATGGCGATTTTGGTGGACTGCCCTTGTGAAATCTTGGAACCCAATTGACAAAAAAGGCGAAGGAATTCGGATTTTACTTGAAGACCACGACCAACTGCGAGTAGTTATTGGAAAATATTGATTAAAAATGGAATTAAAAACCCCAAAGGTTTAAGCTTTAGCTTTGTTTTATTTTTTTTGCTTTTTCGAACGAAAACAAGACAAGCTTTCAGAGCAAGTTGCAACCACCAAAGGCGGATCTTTATGAAAGATTGGAAATGTTGGATGCATGTCTTAATTAGGATTAATGTTTCCTTATTGTGTTTGTGCATGTCTCATCCATACTGGACGTTTGACGCAGAGGTGGATTCGATTGTATGCCCTTCATTTTCATACTTTGCTCTTACCCTCCTATGACGTGTGGTTACGGTTAAACCACATTAACATTTTATATTAATTTTTTATAGAAATAATAAAACAAAAAGTAATAAAAATATAAAATATTGACGTGATTTAACTGTGACCACACAAACAAGAGGGCATGAAGAGAGTATGGAAATGGAAAGGCAGACAATCCACTACTGTTTGACGCACACCACACTTTCCTTTTTCCAACTGCCAAAGAGCGTTATTGTCCTTCAAACATATGCTCAATGCTTAAGCGGTGTTCGCACACTACTTTTCTTTTCATGCACGTTTATGTTTATTTTTACATTTAAAGTAAATAAGTTAAAGAAATTTAAGATGCTGAAATAAACAAGAATCGTGTGAAAAGAGAAAAATAGTGTGTAAAAGTTATTTTCGCATTTATAATTGATGATTGATATCATTTAGTATATGAGCATGCATTTAGCCATTCGTACTACGGTTTAATGTTCTTTTCCAATCGTAAATGTGAGATTTTTGTTTTGGTTTTTATTGGTGGTAAGTTCACTACCTAATTGCATACGACTAGCTTATGTCTCAAGTTCAATACCAAGAGCTTATATTTAGACCAAAATAACTTAGGTATGACATCTGCCACAACAAAATATTGAACTCGCTGCAAAAAAAACCCTAAATTCACATTCATGTCATGAGAAGTTGAATCTACCCCAACCTAGTATAAACAAACTAATGTTCGACCAAATATTAGTAGGTGGAACTTTGACTAGTTAATTATAAATTGTAATTCTATAGCATACTATGTTAGACTAAAAATAGTATCAGATTGTTTATCATGTAAAAACATTTTTCTTTAATTTTGTTTTCTGTTTATGTTTGTGCTGCTGAGCCGACCCAAGTTAATTACTAATAAGATGGGAACGAGACTTATGGTTGGTTGAGGCCGTGAGGGCATAATTACACATATATGAATTAATAATTGATTAACCTATCAAACAAAATATTATAATAAATAGTTTAATTTATGCTTAATTAATTTTGTCTGGAATTTTGTGGTGGCTTTGGACATGAAACCGATCCCATATGCTGATATGCATACATGACTGCTTCTCATTCAATGACCTGGATTTGGTTTGATATAAACTAGAAAATGGTTATAGATTAGAAGCTAATCCACAGGTTCTGTCTGATACAAGCAACCTTTTTTTTTATATTTGGAATAGATGATATTACATTAGTAATTAGATGTTAGATTAGAAAATTAACGAGTTTCGAACCCATAGAACAGATCATATTTTTATCATTGTAATAAAGTTCCACTTGCAACTTTTAATTTCATATTTTGTAGGAAATTTTTAGTGGTCAATTTTATTTTATCTTTATACTATCATGGCAAATTGTTTTATTTTGTATTGTCATTTTAAATGGATAAAGATAAAGTCATTGCAAAACTTGCGTACTGTGCTCAAAGTTGTAAGAGAAGGTATCTGTAGCTTTATTGACACGTATAGCTATCAGCTTTCAATAATAGGAAGACGATCTATCCATCAATTATTTAGTGACCCCTTGTCTATATCATGGATTTATTTGGTAACATCTGTAAGAAACCCTAATGCTAGTGAGTTTCATCAGGTCACATATGGAAGAAATTTTAGTTATAACAGAAACACAAATGATATATCACGTGTTTTTATATAAATTGTGGGAAATTTTAATATTTAAGTTATTAACTTTTTAACACATATATCCTACCATTTGTATAATGACACGTAATGTATCATCCCATATTTCGATTACACTGAAAAGTCTCTTTACATATCGTGCAGTAGTTTCAAACAAAATGGTTGTATTTAATGTAGACTTCTAAGCAGTAGAGGAGTCAAGATTTTATGTACGAGGGGCTCTAATTTACATAGGTAATTTGAACTCTACATGAGATATTGGAGTAATTGCATAAAAATTCAAAGACCCTAAATTTAATAGAGAGCTAAAAATATTGCACACATCCAAAAACCCAAATATGGGGTAAAGAGTAAGAGTTTTTAAAAATATAAATTAAAGCCAACGGGAAGTTGATAGAATAAGGAGGGGAAGTGAAGATCGCAATAAGGCGGATGCAGAGAAAAATTAAGCCTAGCTTGAAATGGAAAAGAATTTGAATTGAGAATACACTTAAATTTCAAGGATTTAAACTGATATGCAACAACATCTGTTATAGTAGTAAGAAGAAAAAAAGGCAGGAGCATGCAAGAATAGTATGCACCGGATCAAAGTCATATTAGAGGGAAAACAAATGAATTTAATTGTGTGAATTAAGTGGCAGTTAAAGCCACATAAAACTGACTGCAACTGCATCCTTAATGAGTGGATGAGTAGCAACTGATATAAGAACTTATTGGTCTCTCTTCTCGGGTAGTTACTGAGATCTCCTTTTCGGTAAAGAACCAACCCACGTGTGTTCTGGGATCTAATTTGTGTCCAGGAGAAGAGAAAACAAGTTCGATCATGGCTTCAATGTCTTCGACTACAAGTAAGAAGCCTTAACTACAAAACTGTAACCTTAATTATGTTGATACTGCACTTAATGCAGTACCATGCAACAGACATTACAAAACTGTCTTCTAGGATTTTATTATTTTGATCCTTAGTTAGCTAACAATATCATCCTTGCAAATCTCATATTGTAAATTAGTTTTATTGTTGTTAGTATTACGGTTTAGTATTATTGTTACTGTTTGAGAAGTTTTTGTTTAACTCCATTAATTTAAATAGTGGATTTGATATCAAATTGATACTGGCCTATTGTACAGATCAACTCAAATCTTTGCCTCACAAATATTATTGGCTCTATCAAAACTAAACATTTAGCTATTAGGTGGAAAAACTTGATAAAGATATGCAACTATATTATTTGGCACTTTTAGCCATGTGGAATTATTAGTGGTGTTCAATGAGTGACTCTTATGAATGCATGTGGGTAGTGATTCAACTTTCAGATGATCGGGACTTATAAGTTCTTTATGTTTGTGTGTGTGTGTGAGCGCGACAGATATAGGTGTTGATTATTATTATTATTATTATTATTATTATTATTATTATTATTATTATTATTAGTATTGCCTGATTGGATTAATAGTTCTATGGTGATAGGATAGTTGGAAGATAGCCCCTGTGATTAAAAAAAAAAGGATTTAAGCCATGTGGTAAAGTCTGTTAGGATTTATACCCAAAATTAAAAATTCCATCAATTTTCTATTAATAATTAGCATGTGAGCCGTACATATTAGACTAAAACGGAACTCTCGATACACATATTAGGCTAAAGCGGACATCTCTGTTAATTGTTAACACGTGGGGATGGCTCACGTGTTAATAATTAATAGAAAATTGATGAAATTTTCAATTTTGGGCATAAATTCTAACAGATTTTACCACAAGGCTTAAATCTAAATTTTTTTTTTACCACATTGGCTATCTTCCAACTATCATATCACTACGGGAACTATTAATCCAATTAAGCATTTTTATTTTTATATACTTTTGTCCTATTAAATAGTAAATTTAACCATAAATACATAATTTTACATTACAACAAATTATATAACTACGATATAAGCATTAACGGCAAGATTATATATTGTTATTGGTTAATATTCTTCTAAAATATATATGAAAGAACATTCACTCATCAGTCCGCTAATAAACTAAAGTATTTGGTTTTTTATTTAGAAACATCTGTCCATCCAGGCCACGTAATCGATTTCCGTCTTAATTTTCCAATTTTCCAGTCAAATATTGATAGAAAACTAGATTGTCCAAGCTTTGTATAAAATTATTCTGTTTTTCCCCCTATATTTATTGAAAACTATCTAGATTGTCCAAGCTTTGTATAAGATTATTCACTCATCAGTCTGCTAATAAGCTAGATTTGTCTAGACAATGTTAATTGCTCAATCTCTATTCAACTGCCAACTCATAGTCCATAGATGAATGAATCAATGCATGACTCACGAAAAAATCCAAGAACATCACGTGTACACAAGTTTGAAGACTTTCACTTGAAATCAATAACCAAAATAAAATCACGAAATTATAGAATACTTACATTAAAAATCTGAGGTCTGAGTTGTAAAATCATTGACCAAATAGTGTGAAAACCACCAAATTAATTCTGTCAATTTTCTTAGGAAATTGATTATTATTTCGTACATATGTGAATAACAAAAATAAAAACCGGAAGAATGAATTAAAGTTGGTATATTTAACTTTCTATGTCCAGCATTCAAATTCCCATTTTTTCAAAATGATTTGAAAGGAGTAATGCTAAAGAGATTATGTGACATCCCACATCGTCCAGAGGAGTGATCTTTAAATGTATATTCTCATCCCTACCTAGCACGAGGCTTTTTGGGAGCTCACTGGCTTCGGGTTCTATGGGAACTCCAAAGTTAAGCGAGTAGCGTACGAGAGCACTTCTAGGATGGGTGACCGACTGGGAAGTTGCTCGTGAGTTCCCAAAAACAAAACCGTGAGGGAATGGTAAGCCCAAAGCGGGCAATATTGTGCTACAATGGAGTCGGGCCTGGGAAGTGATCCGTCCTGGGCCGGGATGTGACAGATTAACTTTATAGATAGAATTTTGTAAATTAAATGACATGAAAGTTGATGATTAGAATATTACTTGATGTGACAGATTAACTTTATAGATAGAATTTTGTAAATTAAATGACATGAAAGTTGATGATTAGAATATTACTTGAGCTTTGATAAAAATGCTCATTTTCTATCGGTGACACATCATTTAGTTTGTTAATTTTGTCTACAAAATTAATCTTTCTAGTATTATCCATTTCAAGAAGAAATATCGCTTATATTCAAAATTCGAGCAAGATGCAAATAGTTTGTAATTCAATTGATTAAAAGCATTACTTATTACGCTCAAAATTCCGTAT